GCTTCAAACACTTCGTTTTTCAATTCCTTTTCATCTCAAACACTTTCCTCTATATATACCCCACCTTATGAACGTCTAAAAATGTGTTGAATCATATTTTCCAAATAGATCATTCATTTGAAAATTCAAAACACATTCATTGATTCAAAGATTCAACCATCATATTATTTGAGTCATAATTTCATCCAAACTTTTATTTTTTGATTTAGCCTTATTGTTTTATATAAAACTACAGATTAAAACACACAAGATCTTTTGATCAAACATCAAACAATTTAATCCACTGGAAATAAATCGATATCGGGGATTGGGAGATGTTGCGGAAGCACAAATTCAGGAGGACTAAGGTGAGATACCGGAGTTTGGATCTGAGTCAGGAGCACGTGGTCCAAGAGGGTTAAGGTATAAACCAAGAGTCGATATTTATTTTGAAGGAGCACACCTCCAGTAGGATCAAGGGAAACTGCAGGAATTGAGGTCAAAAGTTCTACGGGGTAGACGAGTCTGGACTGTACTGTAAGTTTGCTTCTATTTATAGTAGATTATTGACTGATAAAGTGTCCGAAATTTTTATATGGTTGGAGTTTCTCCATGATCATTTTTTGTGTCTTTACTATTTAATTATTGATTGTAGTATTCAAATTTAGGATAAATGAACTTGTTTGATCTAATCATCTAAAAATATTTAAAAAATGTTTTGTTACTTGTGTAATTCTGCATGTGAATCTAAATAATTTAAAACTTTGAAAAACAAATAACATGGACATGCCATTAAGAAAATGGCCCACAATAATGGAAATAATCAATTTCAAGATGTTGATAATTCATCTACTTCCTAATAATTAATTACATTTAAATTAGTAAGTTCTACGAGTATTGCTTTTTACAAATGATGATGCTTGGTCTTGCCTTTTTTTTTTTTTTTGTGACAACATGTCTTTATTGTTGTTTATGTTAAATTTTTTTTTTTTTTTTTATAACAGTAGATGTTTGGGTCAGCTTGCGTGTATCTTGACTAATTTCACTGGGTCTTGAAATTTACGATCGGGTATTTACCTCAATAGTCCTAGAGGAACTCAAACTGGTGACTATGGGAAGCAAATTCAAAGTTTGACCAATTAAGCAATCCCTCCAAATTTGTTTATATTAAAACTTTGAATACTTTTCATTAATATTGCATAATATTGTATGACTAACCATCGAAAACACGCCGTCGAGACATTAAAAATAAATTATTTGTGTTCGAAATTTTACTATGGTCAATTTTTGAATTAATAAATAATGATCCAAAGTAACGACATTTGGTCCTGTCAAAACTTTGGGTCCACCAAAATATATTGTTCGGTCAGAAATCTGAATCTTTGCCTCCCCTATTAAATTCACCAGTACCACCCTAGGAAAATGTCTATTTTTATTTTTAACTCAAATTTTGTCCATTTGTTACATGGGATCCCACGTACTGACCCAAACTTATCTTCTCACTGTACCAAAATAAAGGAATAATTAAATTCAAGATGTTGATAATTGATAATTCATCTACTGATGTTAATTTAACACGATCTTGCAAGGTGGCTCTCTTGTCAAGTGTAGGCTCCATTGGCTCTGGTTAGGGCGGTACATGATCTGATTCGATTCGATTGTCTCAGGTTAAGCGGTTCAACAATAATGGTTGGCAAGCACCACGGCTTGTATCCAGGCTAACTTGTGGCCTTGGATGCTACTCTACCTCATATTGAGCAAGAAAATGCCGCGTGTATAATGAAACACGTTATGTACTCGCCCAAGTCCTTGCCTGAAGTTTTTTCAATAATTCCCACGATCCCTCACTGTAGCGCTGGCCCCCACCCAAATGTATTTTTAAAAAAATATGTGGTGTCTAACCTGGTTCGTAGGCCCCCGTAATGCAAGCAGAGTTTAAGTTTTTTTTTCCTATGTGGTAAAAGCTATTGACGAAGATGGCAAGACTAATTGAATTCGAATATTTACAAATGTTCAAGCTAGATATTTTAGTCACACTAAACGACTTATTAATCATAAATTGTCCAGCTTCCAAATAAACAATAGGGTTTGATGGAGTAAATAACACGCTAATATTGTCCATGTTTGGTAGAAATTAATATCTAGATTATATCTAAATCAAAGTCAACAATTGATTTTAACTAATTGAAGTTTCATCTTAAACGGTTAATTTTGTTAACCGATGTGAAATTTATTCCTAACCACGTTATGTATATCAAGATGTGAAATATTGTCGTTGTCGTCAGGGACGGATTCAGGATCGGACGACAGGGGGGACTAATACGTAAAAAAAAAAA